CGTGTCCCGCGGCTTTGCTCCAGACGCCTGTGGTGCAGCAGCTGGGGCGCTGCCGGTTGGTCCAGTAGCGCCGAGGAGCAGCAGCGCTACTGGACCAACCCAGCAGCACCCGAGCTGCTCTGCCCCAGGCGTCCCCAAGTCAACCGCTGCTGAAACTGACCAGCGGCTGACTACAGTAGCCCCATCTAAGTTGTATTTATAGTAGCCCCATCTAAGTTGTATTTACCTAGTTTATTGATAAGAATTGATAAGACTTACTAAAGTCTAGGTATACCTCATCCACCGCTTCTCCCTGATCCACAAGACTCGTTATCCTATTAAAGAAAGCTATCAGATTGGTTTGACATGATTTGTTCTTTACAAATCCATGCTGGCTGTTCCCTATCACCTTGCCACTTTCCAAGTGTTTACAGATGATTTCCTTAATTACTTGCTCCATTATCTTCCCTGGCGCAGAAGTTAAACTAACTGGTCTGTAGTTTCCTGGGTGATGTTCTTATTTCCCTTTTTATAGAGGGGCACTATATTTGCCCTTTTCCAGTCTTCTGGAATCTCTCCTGTTTCCCATGATTTTCCAAAGATGATAGCTAGAGGCTCAGATACCTCCTCTATCAGCTCCTTGAGTATTCTAGGATGCATTTCATCAGACATATTTTATGTCCCTTTTTATTTTCTCTTTGCAAATATTTTTGCAACTGAGTGTTTGTTTTTAAAGTTTGGGGGAAAGTACTTGCTTGTATGAATACATAAGCTGATGGGTGAACAAGAACACTAACTACTTGCTCTTCATTGCCCTGTTTAAAAGGTATCAGTAATTCAATCAGGGATCAGAATCAGTCCCTTGTGACTGAGGTGACTAGTCAACCACCATAGAAAACTGATGTGAAAAGTTCTCTGGGGCTCATATCAACAAAGACACATCTGTGCCTAAATCTCAGATTTAGGGGCTAATGAAAACCCCTGCTCTGCTGCAGCTATTGATGCCTAAACTCATTCTGTGCCTAAATTTCCACTCTGAAAGTATTCCAGGTATCTATGTTTCTGCTTCTGAATATGCACACTGCTGCCTTGGGGGCCCCAGATGCCTATCTCGTGGCTATACCCCAGCACCATCCTCAAACCAGGTGTTATTGGCACAAATAACATCAGTTTACATAGAACGGCCACTTCCAAAATCAGGCTTAGCAAAGTCATTCCTAATTTAAAAAAAAAAACATTAGAGAAAAATATTTTTAGTCTATGAAGACTTACTAATTACTTCAGACAAAACTGATTAGGATTGTCTACTTCCTAAAATATAAATTAACAGAAACATTGATAGCTCAGAAATCTTAAGATTAAATGTTCTGGGAGAAAATATTTGAAAAACTGAAGTTCTTCCAGTCAAAACTCTGTTACCATAGCAATGTCATGTTATCTACAATACATATGATGTACTTTTAGTGCCTGTGTCATTTGCAAACACTTACACCCTTGGATTAATTAACTATTAAATTGTTATACTATAGATACAAGTTAACTCTCCTTAGTCCTCTTTGTGAAATTAGCACGGTAAAAACCTAACTACTAGCCTGAGAAGTCTTCTTTTTAGAATGTCGTGCTTGGGGATTTGGGTCATCAAATCAAACTGAGGCTACTTCTAGACTGCAAGGGTAAGTAGGAAAAAGTTGCGTATCAAATTGCGTATCTTTCTCCACATTACTGTCGAAAGAGGCTTTTCTGAAATTTGGTACGTCTACACAGCACCAGATTTTGGAAGTAAGTCCTCTTTCGACACATCCCTTCTTCCCCATAAAACAAAGTTAACAGGGATGGCAAAAGAGCACATCTGCTTTTTCAAAAAAAAATCCAAAAAAGCGGACGCGCTTCTTGGACATGGTATTGCTTTTCTGGGATACTGCAGGCAGTCTAGACATAGCCCAAGAGAGAAAATATTTTTTTAACAGACTCACATAGAAAAGAGTGAAGTGTATATTTAATTTTGTCCAAAATGTGTTGGATTTGCTCTTCTTAGAGCAGTGGTAGATAGTGGTTGGTGTTGGATGACTGTATATAGAGGATATGTGAATATGATGTAGGAACACAAGCTTGAGAGGGATAAATATTTGTTCTATTGGTAAATGGAAGGTGTTAGCTTAAAAACTCCAGTAGATCTTATATATTCTGCAAGGTACCCTCATCAGAATTTCTGATGAAATTTTCCCAACTTTGCCAGAGAACTACTAGAACAAATGGCTGAGGATATGGGCTTATAGCCTGCCACAGGCAACAAGGCAATTGGGGATTAAGTTATGTAAAGGCTTTATGTCTTCAAACTCTCATGTACCCTGCTGGTTCTGTTCAGAATTTATCTTAAAATAACAAAAGTTCTCAGTTGTAAACACCATGGTGGTCTCATAAGTTTGCTATATGCTGTAACATGGTAACTGCACGCACACTCACGCATACACAAATGAAGACACAAACTTCAGCCTTTAGGAATTATAGGATTAAACAATGTGAAGTTTCCAGCCCAAAGTGTTTTTGAGATATGATGCTTCAAAATGTTCTAGGAAAATTTTGCACAATGAAAACCTACAGTTTCAGACTTGACACGTACCTGATCCAATTAAACACAAACTACTAGAAAATATCCTATGGAAGAGATAATTTAGGCAGATTGATTTAGTTTGGGCAAAGTTAGTGATTGTGCGGGATTCAGGAAATGTGTGTGAAAACTGTGTTTATAATGAAAAACTATTTAAAACTCTGGCTCCATAATTTTTAATGTTGTTTACAGGTTGTTCTTAGCTACACTGACAGCTCATTCTGAAAACTTTCACACTACCAGACTACACACAGTGGGTACAGTATTTCTTTAAGACACTGTTCTAAACACAACCTTAAAATAATTGATTGTAATGTTTCTATTTATGATTACTACCAAACCTTGTAGTTCAATCCTATGGTATCTCAGTTTTTGCCTGCAGTCAGATCAGTTTGTATTTTTTTTTAAGTTTTTCAGATGCCAAGAGTTTCCTGTCTAGCATCTCTTTTTCATTTTATTTTATTTTATTTTATTTTATTTTATTTTATTTTATTTTATTTTATTTTATTTTATTTTATTTTATTTTATTTTATTTTATTTTATTTTATTTTATTTTATTTTATTTTATTTTATTTTATTTTATTTTATTTTATTTTATTTTATTTTATTTTATTTTATTTTATTTTATTTTATTTTATTTTATTTTATTTTATTTTATTTTATTTTATTTTATTTTATTTTATTTTATTTTATTTTATTTTATTTTATTTTATTTTATTTTATTTTATTTTATTTTATTTTATTTTATTTTATTTTATTTTATTTTATTTTATTTTATTTTATTTTATTTTATTTTATTTTATTTTATTTTATTTTATTTTATTTTATTTTATTTTATTTTATTTTATTTTATTTTATTTTATTTTATTTTATTTTATTTTATTTTATTTTATTTTATTTTATTTTATTTTATTTTATTTTATTTTATTTTATTTTATTTTATTTTATTTTATTTTATTTTATTTTATTTTATTTTATTTTATTTTATTTTATTTTATTTTATTTTATTTTATTTTATTTTATTTTATTTTATTTTATTTTATTTTATTTTATTTTATTTTATTTTATTTTATTTTATTTTATTTTATTTTATTTTATTTTATTTTATTTTATTTTATTTTATTTTATTTTATTTTATTTTATTTTATTTTATTTTATTTTATTTTATTTTATTTTATTTTATTTTATTTTATTTTATTTTATTTTATTTTATTTTATTTTATTTTATTTTATTTTATTTTATTTGCAGCAGGCTGTCTGGAAGTGATTCTTAAACTGGAGAAGGTATTGCTTCACGTTTTCTTTTAGGAAATAGAGTGGAAGGTATTAGTCTTATATATAGGCTGTTAGAAACACACAAATACACAAGGGAAGGGTATATGTATGGGGAAGATGTCTCCATCAGAAAGCTAACCCCTGCTAAACCCATCTGACATCACCAAAGGCTCTTCTATTAAGCATCACAAGTAAGTGATAGTAGTGTCTTAGTGGCTGTTTTATATGCTTTCTGCTAGTCAATGGAGTCGATGGGCTAGGCTTGACACTGCTATTGGTGCTTACTTTGAGGTGTGAGTAGACTCTGGAATCGTGTTTGTTTTCCTTGGTATGACAACTGATTTATATTTGAGTCCTGTAGCTGTTGCTCTCAGACTACTCAAGACTCTTAGTTCTGGGGATGTCAATGGACCATGTGGATGGTGATTTTCCTTCTGCTGTCAGATCATTTTTTGGGTACCACAAAGATTTACATTTCAATTGGGAAGAGAGACTGTCCTAATTTTAGCCCTATGTTGTGACCAAATCTGGTGTAGCATATTGCAATACAGCCTTTGTTCTCCATGGTTACAGTAAGTTTTATTTTACTTACACACACACACACACACACACACACACACAAATTATTATTAATGTTGCTTGGGATGATCTATTCACTCTACCACAGCTTTACTTCTACCTTTACACATGTACTGTATTTTCCATTTTCTGCATAGATGCTACTCCCATTATTGATACAGAGAATTAAATGTGTGAGGCTATGTCTAAACTGCAGGCTTCTTTCACACACAAAAGCACATCGAAAAAGCAATCTGCGTCCACACTGAATAGACACTATCTTGTGTTAAGTTGTGATTACAATGGATGGAGTGGCAACCAGGGCACTTGTGCTTCTTCCTCTTTCCTCTTCTTTCGAAAGAACTCCCTCTTCCCCATCCACACATGCCTTTTTCCGAGACTTCTTCCTCATAGAAAGAGGATTACCAATACCAGAAAAACCCCTCTGTTCTTTTGCTTTACTTTCGGAAGAATGCGATTGCAGTGTGGACGTAACTCAGATTTTGTTGGAAAAATGGCTGTTTTCCAACAAAACTCTGTAGTGTAGACATACCCTGAATTGCAGAAAAAACATCACTTTTGTACTTTAATATGGATCCTATGTTTTTGATAACCACAGCTTTCCTTCAACCTTGGTTTATTATTTATCTGCTCTATGTCAGTTTGACGTCTCAGTTGATTATAATTCTGGTTCATGATTTTTCAATCACAAGTTTCTCTTATCCTCTTTGTACTACTGTAATGACTTGTGCTTTTGCTTAATCCCTGATTTAGTCTGCAGACAAGTGTAGTGCATCCAATATGTATATCTCTAGCACTGGTTGGAATGTTTCCTGGTGTGTTGCATGAGATTTTCCTTGTATTAATATATAGACTTGAGAAAACAGAAGTGAATGAAGGAATTTCTTGTAATTTTAAAGAAAATATTTCTCTGATTTATTTGAGTGCTGCCTTATAGTGCTGCCTATTTTGAGTGCTGCGTAAAAATTATTAGTTAGCGTTTACTGTGCTTTATGTTTTCAAAGAGCTGTGCATACAACTAATCATCACAACATTCTTGGGAAGTAATTATGGTGAACATTATTATCATTTTATATGTTTGTAAAATGATACACAAAAACACTAAGGGCTTGATTTTTAACAGTGCTGACTGTCCACTGTTCTAGTCAGAATGTTTTCCCACTTTACAGGATCACTTTTTCCTGTGTGAGGCTGCTGCCAAAACCAACAAGCAATTCCATATCTTGACAAAAGAAGATTCATTCTCCTTCTTCCTCAAACCTCCTGGTGTATCTTTGTTGCCATTCATGTTAAGTTTTTTCTTCTAAAGATATGATAGTCAGCTGCAGTGTTATTCTGACAAGCCATTATTTCCTTACATAAAACCACAAATACACTAATCCTTTTAAGTGAAAAACCAAAAACAGTAATGGCTTGTCCTACAAAAAAGGTTCCAGGGTGAGCCATACTTTTGACCCCTCACTCAGGCTCTCCTTTGAGCACCTGCTTCCAACTGCTAAGTACACCCCTGTATTTCTCCCAGCAGGGCTGGTCTTACCATGAGACGAACTGAGGTGGCTGCCTCAGGTGCCAGACTGTGAGGCGGGGGGCGCCACTAGGACCTAGGGTGTAGAAAAAATTGTGTCTTCTGCTGGTGCATATATATTCTCCCTGCTCTAGATGCACAGAGATGGTAGTGCGCTGTGCTGGAGGAAGGAGGGCACAAGAGACATAACAGGCAGCCAGGAGAAAAGGTGGCATGGGGGCGTCATTTGAGCTCTCCGCCTCAAGTGCCAAAATGTTGTGGGCTGGCCCTGTCTCCCAGGGTGGAATCCTGCATTCATCTCACTCTTAGCCTTTGTCTTCACTAGACTTTTATCCGCAAAAATTTTGTTAGTCAGGAGTTTGAAAAAATACATCACTGACCAACATAAGATTCACCAACAAAAGCAACAGTGTGAACTGTGCTATGTTGGCAGAAAAAAACAGCTGTAGCTAATATTGCCAGCAGGAGAGCTCTCAGCAAACCAAAGCTAACTAAGACCGATGTAACCATTTATCCAGCAACATAATAATCACTAAATCTACAGATAAAAGTAATACCATTAATCCAGAAAACTCCCGTGTTCTTCACAGTTATTAAATCGTTAAAGTCCCTCCATACTTGTTTTGCTTTATATGTTCATAAGTTTGTCTCCATCAAGAACATCAAGAGGTTTGTTGTCTAACAGACTTCTCTTTATTTTGAGCAAAAGTCTGTCAATGTACATGTGTATTTGGCATCTAGGTATCTCATCCTCTCTTCAAGGTTCTGCACAAGTCTGTTTTTACCTTTTCTGCTAGTCATGCCATCTTCCATACTGGTTCCTCCCGCTGCTTTCAGGCCAGTTTTATGTCATTTAGAGTCTTTTTTGGCACTACATGTCATAAGTTGAGAGTGCTTAGCACTTCCCAGGAGACTCATAGCACCTTGCAGTATTAGGCTTTAAAGACATTGTGAACCAAGACTGAGTTTGACATTCAGAGAGGCTGAATATAGTAGCTTTTAAAATGTCAAAAAAAGTGAAGACTTGGTTTACAAACTGAGCATTTCTGCAAGGTAGATGAGAGTTGGTTGTATTTTAAATCTTTTGCTATGTCTTAAAAGGACCTTAAGGCTTTTTGATTCCACTAATTTTCCTTTCTTGTGTTAGCATTACAATGCTTTATAATCCAAACAGTCCAATATATCACTGTGGAATCTTTTTTTCCAAGAAAACTGATAGAAGAAATTGTGATTTAACATTTTATATTTTACCTGTCATGGGATTAGATGTTTATAGAGAAAAAAATCTTTGAAAAGTTCTTGCAAAGAATCCAGTATGTTGAAACCACCTATTATCAATATCAAGAAGCATAAACAACAGTCTCAAAATGCCCCCAAATTTTTTTAATCTTGGTAACTAATTTTTTAATTAAAACTTAGTTCTGAGGACATACAATGTATATAAAATGGGCTATTAAAATATCAAAGTATGTCCTCAGAACTAAGTTTTAATTAAAAAATTAGTTACCAAGATTAAAAAAATTTGGGGGCATTTTGAGACTGTTGTTTATGCTTCTTGATATTGATAATAGGTGGTTTCAACATACTGGATTCTTTGCAAGAACTTTTCAAAGATTTTTTTCTCTATAAACGTCTAATCCCATGACAGGTAAAATATAAAATGTTAAATCACAGTTTTCTTGGAAAAAAAGATTCCACAGTGATATATTGGACTGTTTGGATTATAAAGCATTGTAATGCTAACACAAGAAAGGAAAATTAGTGGAATCAAAAAGCCTTAAGGTGGAGCAAAGCCCGGGGCCTGTGGTAGAGCAGGTGGGGCGCTGCCGGTTGGTCCCGCAGCACCGCTCCTTGGCGCTACTGGACCAACCCGGCAGC